AAAGGTCATAATTAATGAGCTTGGGCATAAATCACCGGGCAGGCCAATCAAAGTTGTCTCCATGCCCATACGTCAGGGATTTGCCAGAAATTTATCGGGTTGCTGTGTGGCTGCCACAAGGACTCATCTCTGCAGTTAGATCCATCTCTTTCTCTGCGTGCTGCTATTAATAATCCCAAACCAAAAACAAACAAATCAAATGCCCGAATTATCCAAGGAGTAGGTCCTTCAAAAACCACTTGTCGTTGCACTTTCTATGGCTTTCGTTTCACGTCTGCTACTGTCGCAATTTTTGCACATTTCGCATTCCCTTCCCCCGGGGAATGGATCCGGTCTGACGTGCGACTTTATTTGCGTCTTCTACGACACGCGTCAGTGGCTCAAATCGAGCACCGAGCCAATTGTTCTGGGTTGTTCTTTCCCCTTAGCTTCCTCCTGACCCAGCTCCAGCTCCAGCTCCTGCTCCTGCTCTTGTCCTGGTTCCTCGCATGTCCATTCAACTGACAATTACAACGCATTCGGGCTATAACTGTCGCTCGGCATTGCTTGCTGGTTGTTGCGTTTCAAGTACCCTGTAATAGGGTATGTTCGATATTTGCAATCGATAGCAAAGAGAGATTAAAGATAAAAGAAAATTTTTAACTTAATATACCTATACCATTGCCATGAATTCCTATTGACAAACTACGAGATCCAAGTAATCAAACATCTAGAAAACGAAAGCATGAAGATATAAGAAAATGAATACAAAACTTAAAAACCCCTAGAATTTTAAAGTATAAACATATTTTCTTTTATGATGTTGAAGTGAGAGGAGTTTAAGCCTTTTGTATTCTAGAATTTATCCAATCTTTCAGTTCAAAAATGATCTTACTACATATTTCATTCAAAGACTTCCATGTTTTTGCAAAGTCGAGTTCTTCCACTTCAACATTTTAACCAGCTTTAGTTGTTGCCTGTTGAGAAGGTTTATTTAGCATGCAGCTGGCAAGATGCGCGTCAACGTCCATTGAGTCGCAGTCCTCCATGGATCTAATAGCTCTGTTCGTGATAAAATGCTCGTAGAGTGTGGGAATGAAGGTGTGGGTGTGTGGAGAACGTGTGGCAGATGGAAAAGGGACTTCCCCCTGGAGCAACAATCAGTGGCTGTCGCTTAAAACTTCTCGGCTCGCGCTCAATTTAGTTACTCCGCCGATAATATCCCCAGCCTAATTGCCCACACACGAGCAAGCATTTAAGTAAGTTTCAGAAGATAAAATTAATGCCGTGGGGCAGTGTTTTTTGGGTCTTTAAGCCTGCCAAACAATTGGCGGAGGTGCATATGTTCCCAGAATTAAAATATGTTTATGAGTGTGTTTTGGGTTTGATATTTATCAGGAGGAGAAGTCGTGAAAAGTTTAAAGGCCAATCAAAAAATCATTTTGGTTAATGGGATGTTCTAAACAGCAGAAAGGTCTCGTATTTTCAGGAAGTTGAGGAGTTTCTATACATTTACAAATATATGTACTTAAATTCTTTTAGTCAAAAAAGTAGCTGTTTGATGTCAATCTTTATAAAATCCTGACAACTCTAAGCTCCCTACTTATTAAATTCTTAAAATAAACTCAGTAAATCAAAACTCCAGGTAGTTCTAAAAAAATTATTTTAAAAATGCAAATAGAGCAGGAGCAGGGCTAGGCACACCTCGCTTTCTGGACGATGGTCGACCCTAACATGACCGGAACACTGCTGCACGCCATTTTGTTTTGCGGCAACACGACGAGCTATGGGAGCATGTTAAACCATGATTAATACGTGTTGATAAATATTTATTGTAATTAATCGCGTTGCCACTATCGCTGAAATTTAAATCAAGGCAGGCACCAAATTGGCGCGACTTTTCTGCGGACTTTTGCTTGTGCATAAATTTGAATTTGGCGCCTGCCCACGCTCCAGCCTTAGCAATGGAAATGCATTTATCATTCGGCGTTCTCTTCTGGCCATTCGGAAGTTAACAGTCGAGGTTTATCTGAAATTAAAAATCGCCTGAAACCTGAAAATTTATGTCAGCACTTTGCTGCCAATACTTTGCACACATTCCTTTGGTCCTGGCGCTCCGAGCGTTTGGTCCTTTGAAGTTGTGTGTCCAATTGACGTTGCAATGCGCCGGGATGTGCCACTTGTTAGCCGCAACAACAAACTTTTGCCATAATTAAAAGCTAACAAAACTTTTGGCTTTCACTCGGCAAAGAGTGCATACAATATCTGGGGAGCAGAAAAGCAGAAAAAAGATGAGACATAGCTCTTCTATTAGCCAATTCCTGCATGTTTCGGTCAATTTGGATGGACCAGCCATCGGACGACATGGAATTCATGCACCTTTGTGCGAAAGTTCACCTGTACATCGTCGTGGCATGCATTGAGCAGTTTCTGTGCGACAGAAAGTGGCATGAGAGGTTTAAAGTTAAGGGTTAGATATTTAAGTTAATTCGTTAATCAGGTTTAAGGGGTCTTAGTATGAGAAATACTACTGAATCTCACATGGTAATTAGTTGGTTTTCCAAATAAAATAATGTAAAATGTTATACACTTGAATAGAATAGAATAGATAGGAGATTAGAATTAACCTTATAATATTTTTTAACTCTTACAACTTTGCACATTAGGTCAGGATTGGGGTATTATAATAAGCTCAAGTGACACTATAATTGAATTTATATAAAGAGTTTATTAACATAGTTAAATAACTTGAAAATGCCTGAGAAATCTTTTTAAAGTTAAATTTAAAAAATAATTAAATGAGCCATCAAAGTTTCTAACCTTTGTAAAATAGGTTTGAGTCAAAGATATTATAACACTTTACATATAGATGGCGCTGTTGGCAGAATAATAAAGCCGGTTCTTACACATCCATTAGTCTACAAAACATTTAAATTCAATTATAGTTATTAAAAATTTCCCTAAAATTGATTGTTTTACCCGTAAATGTTCTTGAAATACGATTTTAATCAATTACTTTTTCCCCATTACATCCACACAAATTAAAAACAAAGCACACACTCTCCCTCGAGTCGAATTTATATTAAAAACACATTTGCAATGTATTGTGCAAGAGTTAAAAGTACTTAATCATACATCTCTACATAAACAGAATATACGTATATATATATTAAAAGCATACTCATATCGTTGCTGTATACAAAATATATATCAAATGCTTCAAGGTAACAAAGAATATAGAACAAAACCGATGAAAGGGGCTAACATTATAGTTTGTACGGATCGAGAAGTGCTGAGATGCTGAGATGATCACATCGAAAGCAGCGGCTGCATTATACAAAATCATCCTCTCGCAAGAGATTCCAAAAATATGTCTGTGTGTGTCTGTATAAATATATAGATTATTCAATTGAGGATTTAGCAATCACATTACTGGCACTCGTTACATTGAAGCAAATTCCCTTCATTTTACGTTTACGTTTACGTTTGTTTCTAAAGCATTTTCACATCAAGATATTTAAGGTGTTGGCCCCGCCGACGTAGATGGCGAAACCGTCTTACTTCTGGCCGAGATGCAGCTTGCCGAGCAGAGCGCTTGCCTGCTGTCCGGCAGACTCCTGGGCCTGTCCGGCCGCCTCCTGCACACTCTTCTCCACAGACTGACGCTTCTCGTCCACGTACTGGTTGGCCTCGTGCAGCTTCTGGTCCACCGCCTGGCTGGTCTGCTTGAGAGCTCCATCGATGGCACCCTCGGCCTGCTTCAGCTTCTGGTCCGCCACAGTCTCGGCGGCCTTGACGCTCTTATTGATCGCATCGTTGGCCGCCTTCTTGGTCTGATCCACGGCATTGGCAGCGGCACGCTGAGAGGCCTCGGCCACATTGGCGGCCACCTGCTTGGAGTTCTGTGCCACGGCCTGCGCCTGCGCCACTGTGTTGTCCACAGCCTGCTTGCCCTGGTTGACGGCACCGGCGGCACGGTTCACGCCCGCATCGATGGCCTGACCGGCCTTCTGGGCCTCAGCGTTGGCCAGAGCAGCGGCTTCCTTAGCTGGAAAGGGAGAAGAAAACTTATTAGTTATTATGTATAGAAGATGTCCGGGAAAGTCTCTTAATCAAATGGGAATTTCGAAAACCTTTCAAAGAAGTTACAAATATTGAAGCAAATCCGTTAAAACATTAAATCAGTAATAGTTTTAAAATTCAGATATTTTACTTCTTAAAAATCAACAAATCTATTTGCTCCAGATTTATAATGATTTAAAATAGTATCTAATATTTATTGCAAATTATTTATGGCCTCAGTGCGTCAGTAAAAATATTCATATATCATAATGCCTTTGGTTTTAGAAAGCAATTCGTTTTGTTTATGACTTTTTGACAATTATTTTGCTAAAATATAAAGCAAACAAGATGTTTAGTTATTTGTTTGAATATTTTTGTATATATTAACTTAAGGGGTCTTCTTTAAAAGATCTCTAGAGTTTTGAATTTATTAAATTCCTATAGATTTATACATTTGTTGCACCACTAATTCTGAGACTTATTTTTCCCAAACTTTTATAGAATTCCAAACTCACCTGTGCTGGCGGCCAGCTGCTCAGCCTCTCCCTTGGTCTGCTGCACCGACTGGCCCACCTTCTTGGCCTGCTCCTCGGCTAGCTTCTGGGCCTCGACGGCCTTCTCGTTGGCCAGCTTCTCGGCCTCATCCTTCTTCTTGCTGAACAGATTGGCCGTCTTGTCGCCAAAGTTCTTCAGAGAGGCTGCGAAGGAGATGAAAGGTTATATTATTTATATGGAAAGGATCACAAATGAGATTTCAAAACTACTTTGATTCTGGCGACTGGGAAACATGCTGACTTTGTGGATTTCTGGATGCAAACTAAACTAAGCGCCGGTGACAATTATAATTTATAGCTGATTTTAATCAGCGGGGATTAACTAATTGCTGCCGCTGAACAAATTCCAGACTATTAATTGCCGAAACATAAACAAAGCAGCTGGAGCATGAACTATTTACATGACTTAAATCGGATTCGATTAGATTGCTATTTCTATTTCTATTTTCCATCTTTTATTTTCTATTTAAAAACAAAACTGCGCAGCTGGGTGGGAGCCTGAGCTGGTCGTGATTGTGAGCGCCAGCCATGGCGTCAGCCTCAAAATTTAAAACACATTAGCCACTGCGAATAATATTCGCAATTTAATAGAAATTAACGAGCACGGCAGCAAACGGCACTTGTGAATATGCATTCCCATCGAGTGACGTGTGCCTTGACTTAAATAGAAACATTGTAGAATCGGAAGAACTACAACCGAGAAAGATATTTGAATTATTCAGAGTCATGTTATGTGATGTCATAATGGGGGGGCACCATTACCATCACCATCGCTTAATGAAATCGCCTTCTTTTCAACCCATTTCGAATGCCTTTCTTCACGCTTTCTGATTGTGATTGGGAATGTGTGCGATTATTCTTAGTAACAGCAGCCGCCGCTTTATCATAGATATTTTAATGGCTCCTCTTCTAGCCCGTTTCCACATAATTTCCTCGTGGATTTGGCCAATTTCATTCCGCATTTAATGATCCACTCGCCTGGCTGAAAATTGGGCGAAAATAATAGTTTCTGCAGTTTCCAGTTTGAGGAATGTGTGGGCACACGGTTGAGGTGTTAAAATAACATTTGTGTATAGAGTGTAATTCCACCAAAATAGGGTGTTTGCAAACAAATATTATATATACTTTTTGATGCTAATTGCTCTTGGTGTTGCGGTATGTGTGTGTGGCATTGAACTTGCAGGAAAATATGTAGGAATAATCTAGGAATTTGTGTTGAATAAAACGTGCTTTCTATTTTGTAACTATTTTTGGTTCACTTAGTCATGCAAATCTAGGAATACTTTTATGTTTCTGTGCTTTTTGCTAAATAAAATTAAAAGTTATAGTATAGTTTATAAAAGACTCTAATTACAACCTAAAGCCTATGAAGCGAGGGCCTTAAAAAGCCAAGACTGTGAGCTGTTGTTGCCATATCTTGGCTGGGCAATATTTTGCTACAAAAAATTAGTATTCCTTGCTTATATCTGTAAACATTCGTGGAATGCCTAAGGCAATCACAAGCTCTTGAGGCATTTGCGTAATACGACGACGCATTTTGTTCTTAACTTTGTTCTGTTTTTCTTTTTTGTTTTTTGTTTCTGTGCTTTATCTGAGTCTGTGGCAGTTTGTGGTCAATATAAAATAAAACCGGCTAGAAGCATGGCCAGAAGGTAACACAATAAGCCCAGAGGGAACAGCCTCTCACAGCCTCAGCTTTGCTTTTGCTTTTGCTTTTGAATTTTAGCTTTTGTTGCTTTTGTCGATGTCGTAGAGCAGATAATGCGCAGAAGTCTCGGAATAGCAGCTATGGAAAACCTGTAGCTGCTGGGTACAACTAAACCCAGTTCGGAGCTCTCACACACACACACACACACACGGAGAGAATCGGTTGGAATGAATATATATATCTTCTATGAGTAACTGCGATTTGAGGTCTGCCGCAACTCACGTTCCACACCAGTTCTGGGAGACCCAACAGTCCATGAATCGATGGAGCTTCTGTTGTTGTTTCTGTTGCTGATGATGTCATGTGAGATACAGATACAAATTCAAGCGCTTTCGGATACAGATACAGATACAGCAGCGCGTGGCAAGTGGCAGCACGGAATTCGCACGCCGAATCAATTGTTTTCACTCGGAGCGTCATCGGTCTGTCCTGGGTCGAAGGTCAGCTGAGTCAGCTGGCAACAGGCCAAAAGCTAGCCAACCAGGGATTCGTGTCCCGGCTGCCGGCTGAAGGATGGCTGATGTCATGGCCTCGCGCCAGGTAAATCAATAATCGGAAAGAGTGAGGGCAGGTCAGACATCCCGGGTTTCGGTCGGGTTATGCTAATGGCTATGAAGTCACTTCTACCGCTGATCGAATCAGCAGGGCTAAGCGCTACACTGATTTATCGGAGGAGAAGGAGGATTGGGTGGTGGAGCAATTACATTCGGCATTCAAATGAGTTACATTACTATATAATTGTTTGATATAATCGTATAGTGTCTGGTTTAATATTATATTGAGGGTATAGTAAAGGGTATAAGCATATATAAGGGTATTAAATCCTTATTTTAGGTGGGTTTAATGTCTAAATCAACTTTATTTGGCAAAGGAGTTCAAGCAAAAGGTATATTATTAAAAGAACTTTGTTCAAGCATGAAAACTTTCTAAATATCTTACGTATCTTAAGAAGACAGTAAATAATTGATAATAAAACAAGAAAAGAAACTAACTTAGGGTAACCCAAATCTTTCGAATCGGAAATGGGCCATAACAAAGCTAAGCCAAGATCCTAGATACATTAGGTGAACAATTCACCAGCCAAGGAAAGAAACCTTTTAAGAATTATAATTATGAAACTTATAAATAAATTATATAATTTAAGAACCAAAAAACGGCATTTACCTTTCTTCAAATACTATATAATTTACTTATAATAGTAATCACGTAATATAAAGGCAATTGTAGCACCCAAGAACACTTCCTCAGCTGGTTACTTCCTCATTTATTTCTTCAAGTGCACCTAATGAATTTTCCAATTAAATTGAATGACCCTAAACCTGACCCACAAACACACAGAGAGTGAACAAATTAGCCCACGACATTGGCGGCATTCCACAAGTATGAACTTGTAATTGAATTAGCCAGACGGCGACGACCACGACGATGGAAGTTGTGGTGCCTAGACCACCTTCGATAGGGCCGGAATCGATTGGATGCACTGCTGGTCAGCGGAGGATATAAGTACAGGAGGAGATCGCTGACTCCGGCCACATTGACGGATCGAGAGCAATATGAAGCATCTACTGGCAGCTCTAGTGACCCTGCTAACGGTCCTGCCGCGTGACCAGGATCTAGTTATGGGCTCGGGAACCCCCTGCCCGCGTCGCTATTTAAGGAGGATCAATGGCAAATGCTACTACTTTTCCGTGACAAAGGTGAGTCCAGAATTGGGGATAGTTTATCTATAACTTTGGCATATTAAAGACAAGATAATCATCAATGTTTGTACCTCAAAAATCCCTTAAAATATTCTTAAGAAAATATATTGTCATCCCCTTTCAGATGAACTGGTTTGGGGCCTTGAACTATTGTCTTCGCAAGGGACTAACCCTCGCGGACCTAAGTAATCCCGGGGACTTTGAAGGAGCCATCGGCTTCCTAAGCTCTCTGGGCAACACGGAGGACTTCTGGTTCGGGGGCAACGATCTGTACCACGAAGGACGCTTCCAGTACATCAGCAGTGGCCGGCTGGTGCGCTACTACAGCAACTACAGCAATGTGTTGCCAGCGGAGCACTCCGAGTGCGATGACTGCCTGGAGGTGCGCATCCGTGCCCATATCAACATGGTGGCGGCGGACAACTGCCAGGAGCGGCAGTACTTTATCTGCTCGGAGCGCTACTGCCAGGGAGGTGTCGATGACAGCCGGAAACCGAAGCACCACAGCCACGAGCATCTGCATCACTTCCACCACGACATCGGCGACAGTAACGAGGGGGAGGAGGAGGACGAGATCGTCGAGCGTACCCACAACATGTTGCCCATTGCCAGCGGATCAAAGGAGCATCCAGAGGATTCTGAGATGGCCATTGGAGCAGCAGATGTGCAGGACGTGGACACGACAGCTGGCAACTCGACAACTCCGACAACTACAGCAGGAGGAGCAGGAGCATTGGGAGCTGCCGGAGAGACGATCCCGGACACAACAAAAGCATCAGAAGATACTACAGCTGCCACAGAAGAAACCACTGCGGAAGCCTCCACTACAGAAGCCACACCGGCACAATGATCTACAGATTAAAGCTCAATTCAAACCTGAAATTCTTTCTCGATTCAAAGTAAACAAATAAAATGATCAAGCTTTAAAACATACTCGATTTGAAACTGTAGACTTTGTTTTAGGAATCATCAAGGGGCCTAAAGTATGCTCTTCTGTCCTAGCTGAGTAATGTTATAAACTAATTAAAAATAGTTTAAAAGCTGAAATGAATAGAGTTCCTTGGAGGAATTGAAACAGCTGTATACTTGGTTTTTACTGTACTTGTTTCCCTATTAATGATTGAAGTGTGATTATATCGTAATAGTAGAGACCTAATTTGGATTTTGCCTAATTTTTAGAAAACAAAAGCTACCAAAATAGGTAACAAATAAGAGGTATATTAATGAACTGAAATTGGAATGTCGATTAAGGGGAAATATACTTTTAGAGACTCCCGACTCCAGAGACTCAAACTAAATTCAAAGCTTAACAAGATTGAAATCACTTTAAGAGAAACCTGTGCTCTATTCCTTCGTTTGCTAAACAATTAACAAATGATTCAATAAATATAATAATAATGCCAATAATAACATAAGAAAACATCTTTCGAAAACCTCAGGTTTCAAGAGCACCCCGAACCGAGGAACACAAGCTTATTTCCCCCACTAATGTCGCCGAACCAAGACCATCTAGCACTTGACCCCCTCAGCACAACCAATGGCAATCAATCAATTTGTTGAACGTTATCGGGCAATGAAAATGCAATGAAATTGGCCATCGGTCACTCTTTATGGTAATCCAAATGTCACACCCCCAAGAGGGTATATATAGAACAGGAGGCAGTACGCATGTGTACAGTTTGGCTGGACAGGCGGCTCAGTTCTGCTGGCAGCCATGAGGATACTTTCCATTCTGATATTGACCTGGGTCGTGGCACATCTCGACCAGGTGTCGGGCAAGAAGGCAATCCGGAAGAAATCCAACAAGGGAGGTCCTTGCGGAAAGCCATTTCTGAAGCAAGTCAATGGAAGATGCTACTACGTTAGCACTAAAAAGGTGAGAGTTCAGGGATCAAGAATCGGGCTTAGAGACTTATGATTTCCACTTTGCAGATCAACTGGTTCGGAGCGCAGAACAATTGCCTGCGCAAGGAGCTCAACCTGGCGGATGTGGGCACGCCGGATGACTTCAAGGCCATCACCGATTTCCTGCAATCGGAGTTTGGGAATGAGGACTACTGGATTGGCGGCAACGATCTGCAAAAGGAGGGTCAGTTCAACTACATCAGCAGCGGCAGGCTTATGCACTACATGGGCGAGAGTGCAATGGTGGAGCCAACGCTACGCTCCAATATGGATGACTGCCTGGAGCTGAGGATCCGGACCAATACCACCGTCATGCTGGATGTAAACTGCCACGATAAAAAGTACTTCATTTGCGAGAATTCCCAGCCAAAGTGTGCACAGCCCACCGCCGAAGACATGGACGAGGACCAACGCCACAGCCACGAACATCTGCATCACTTCCACCACGATGCGGGCAAAAAGGACAATGAAGAGGCAGCGCAAAGGGAAAAGGAAGTGGAGAGTGACTCACGGCCACTTGACAATTCTAATTCAACGGAAATCGGTATATCGGCGGAGATGGAAACTACAACTGGTGATCCGGGTGAGGAAGCTACAAGGGGAGGAGTAGGCGCAGACAAGACAAGCCCCACCGGGGCTGATCCACCGGCACAGAATGGTACAGAAGAGGCCACAACAGCAGGAGATGCTGGAGCAACTACAGCGGCAGGAGATGCAGGAGCAACTACAGTGGCAGAAACAACTACAACGGTAGGTGAAGAATCAACTACGACGGCAGTCTAAAAGGAGGAGCACACTTTCAACGGACTTATATGGAGCTTAGGAATCGAATGACTATAATAAAGTAAGCAAGAGCAGAATGGCAGTTTTAAATTTATAAAAAAAATATATAAAATAAACTTGGTATGAACAAATCCAAATAGGGAAAACTATAGACAAGAGCTAGTTGAGCTTCGATATACATATGTGGATTACATTAACTTTGAGTTAACTAAAGGCTCATAAAAAACACTAGATAACATTAATATTAATAAGGAAAGCAATTAGCTCCAGGAAGCCAAAGATTCGGTTTTCCAGACGGTAATCGATACTAAGCTTAAATTGTTAAATTGATGTTTATCAAAATGGCAATTTCTTCGACAAGTTAAAGTTTACAAATCTCATAACTAAGCCAAAAATGCATTAATTTCAATTCGGAAAGTTTTTATATTCTAGTTTGTATTAGGTTAAAAAATCTCTATACTCCGTTTACAGTTTTAAAAATGAACATTTTGTAAAATTTTGACGATAAAATCCCTTATACAATTTTTTAACATTTTGAAAAAATTCAATTCTTGCCGGTCTCAACTCGGATTGAATTGGCTGTTGATGCTGATCAAGAATATATATGATTTATAGGGTCGGAAATGACTCCTTCACATCTTTAAAAGCTCCTGACTAAAATGATACTACCTACATTTGAAATTTATAACTTATAGATGACTACATATTTAGCAAGATGTTTTCAATTCTAATATAAGAATTCGTAAGCAAAAAGAATGGTCTTTTTGTCTAGGTTAAATCACTGATAAACCCAAGGCATGCTCTGGCAGATCAAAGTGTTGGGAAAAAAAGTATAAGATGCTGCTACTAAAGATTGAACTACGTAAATCGGGCGGGGAATGTCTAGAATATATGTCTGAACAGCATTATCAACTAAGCTAATTTCGTGGAAAGTTCGCGATTCGGGTTACTTACATTTCGATGCATCTGTTTAGCATTGAGTGGAAACACAGATAATATTATTAAGTACATATAGCATATATATATAAAGATTCATTATAATTGAAAATAGAAGATCCCTGTCTCGAGTGCCAATGCTGCTTGACCAATACGCCTTCGAGTGGAATCTTTTGCAGAAGATTTTAACAAAGCTAATATATTCGATTGGTCTTTGGTTTTTTGCACCCACTTCAAAGAACAAACATAAGTGTTCCATTTCGTTTCAAGGAATCTAACATCATCATAAAACATAAAGCGAACACACCGCACCGCCAAAGAGTACATCTATAAGTTTCTAGACTTTTGGCATGCTGTGTGTCTGTGTGTTTGTATGTATCTAGGCAGCTATAATTATATATACGTATCATTGCTTTTGGGTGTGGGTTGTGCCAGCGTAGTCCATTTGGAGCTACATATAAACTGCGCCATAATTGGCTTACGTATCATCCACATCGTCGTCATCATCATCACCAGAGGCAGAGTCAAGCCAAGCCAGAGCTAGGGACCAGCCAGAGCCACGGTAGCAGACAATTAAATATTTTGTTATTGCGACCCGTATCGGATCGAACACGCCCAACCCAACCCGACCCCACCCCATCGATTCCCCGGTGGCCAGCTGCTCCAACTCCTTCCTTGGCTCCTTGCTCTGCGCCCGTGATGATGATGTAATTTGCTTCACTGCCGCACATCCTGGCCTGCAATGCGGTCATATGGTAGCTAACCATGATTAATTCACTCACTGCACACGTATATTGACGTGGTTATACCATTTTGGATGCATATATTCCCGTGTCTATTCGAGATTTCTAATTTCAAAACTTTCACGATTGCTGGTTGTGGTTTTACCTGTAATCGAGCTGAACATGTTGCAACTTTTATTTTTGGGTTTTCTTTTAGAGTTCAAGAGAGTTTTGCCTTAGATCGAATGGTTATTCGAATAGTTTGTTCAGATTTATTTGTGGACTGCGGTTATTTTTTTGGTATTTAAGGGCGAAGCGCGTTTATTTTTAAACGTCCGACTGCGTCGAGAGCACAGAAACGTATAACGTTTTGTATAAAGTCGAAGCGAAAGTAGCCGCCTCAGACCTGAACTCGCATCGCATCACACACAGAACACGAAGCGGCATTATTTTTGCTGTGTCTTTTTCTATTTTGTATGTTTTAGTTTGGAAATGTTGTTGTTCTGCTTTTTGGTGTGTGTGGAACCTGTTCGCCGTTGGCGCGCTCAATGCTGCCAGACGGATGGAAAATGGTTGGAAACCCAGGCAAGAAAATTGCCACAGTAAGTATTAATATATTTAACTTACTGCTTTGAAAACTTCTTCATTATACTCTATTTGTATTATTATAAAACTTTACTTTAAATTTAAATAATTTATTACTATTTTTCGGACGTGCATATAAAAAAAATATTTGAGTAACATAATAAACTGACTTATTTGTTTAATTATTTGAAATGAATACCAATAAACGTATTTAAATTCACTGAATGCAATCAAAAAGGCTCTAGGACTGTAGCTCTTGAACTAAAGAGCCATAATAAAAAAGAAGAGATTTAAACGAATCAATTGACGACGCCCTAATATAATTCTCAGCTGTCCACTTGATCAGCTTATCAGTTTACAAGACATTATTCTATTTTCAAAACAAACCCCAATGAATCAACAAGTAAATCTTTCCATATAGCTGGTTGGCCTATGTACATGCCCTTGAAGTTGATAAAAGGAAAAGGTAGACCTTAACAAAGAAAAAATAAGTGTAATTAAGACATAAACCCTAACCTTAATCCATACATTGTGCTTGAGCGGATGCTGTGAATCACTATACAAAATGCAGAATGCATTTGGCTGAATTAACCCTCCATCACCTTATATCTAAACTTAATAACACTTACCGCGAATGAAGTATTGGTTCAGGATAAACGCAATAAATAAGAGCTCATTTGGGCACGCTTCCAACACCGAACTAACTGAGTATATGTTCATAGGTCCACGCTCGTAAATACTAGAGGCTGCGGTTATTTGAAGCCTCACGAAGGCACACACTTATTTGATTCAGCAGGCTACGAATTGCACAAGAAATTCATTTGTAGTCCCGCCGAAACGTGTGCTGCACTTAATCTGTAGAAGAAAAGGATAACGTGTGAAATAAATATATATTAAATAAAACCATCATGCTTACCTAGATGGTATTTTTTTCTTTAAGCGGTTTTTTCTTGGTTTCCGCTTTCAGTTGAGATGCATATGCACGACACTTGGTTTTGTAGCTCTGAACGAGTCGACCGCCAGGTGAAATGGCTATGGTCACGTGAATCTATAAGCAGAGAGCCAATAATTATAGTAATAAGTTGCATTCAAATTAAAGTAAAGACCTACGTCTAGGTAAAGCAGTTCTCTTTCGTATTGCAATGATTCTTCAAGAAGTCCCAAAATGATCTGGAATTTTTCCGTCCCCAGGACGTAAGTCATTTCGCCAATGTTCTGCTTATACCACTTGGCGTAATTATCTAGATTGATCTGAATATCCATGGTAGTGGCGGTAGCAGCCCGCGCCGTCAGCAGCAAGTGCAACAGAGATTTAAGGCAGCCCGAAGAGGCGGTATGCAGTAGGCGATTTTTCAGATGCTCTGCATAATAATGGATTATATACATATGTAAACGGTATAAACGAGATACTTCTAAAATATATACTCACTCTTTATAAATGCTGTAGTTTCCAAATTGGCTGCGCTGGCAATGGACTGCACTAGAATTAGATAGAACTTCCATTCTTTGAAACCTTCCATGTTCGACTGCTTGAAAAGGAATTGAAGGACTTCCTGATGATGACAGGCAAGCAGCTGATGAAAGAGTACGTTTATAAATGATTTACTTTGTTATATACAAATAAATACCTTATCGCAGAGGTGCTTTACAAAGGTGAGTTCATCAACACCCTCATTGATCCAAGCACTGAAGCTTGCAAAGGCCTCTGTGATATCCTCCGATTGATGCAGTTCCATCAGGGTACTTAAGTGCATATTTCTGCACACTCTTAAGGCGTCATCTAAAAATGATGCTTTAAATAATATTGATCATTGCTTAAGGGTTTACCCACCTGGTAGGGACCGGCACAAGGGTTCTACATAGCCCAAAGTACTTATTTTTGGATTGCTCATGAGGCCGGCATAGAGATTGCCCAGCGCAGCTGTAAGGATTGAGGTCAATTTCACACCGCACTCGACATCTGCGATTATGTACACATACTTAATAGAAGAAATTATTTGTATGTAAAGAAAACCAACCATATGCCGCAGAAAGAAATACGTTTGTAAGCAGCTCGAATTCCGATTCCAGAAATATTATTAAGTCCACTTGCAGCTGGTCCGAATGTTCCTTGCTGTATAACGTCCATATATTATTGATAAATAGGGACAACAATTAAAAATTAAGGTTTTACCTTACCTAAGTATGTACTCTGAGGCTGTGAGTATGCCGAGCTGCTGGAGCTGGAGTAGGACGCGGAAACTGCCCACATTGGCGGGCAACTGGCAGAAGAACTTTGAGGCCAATAGCTGGAATGTTCAGGTGTTTGCACATAAATATATACATATAAAGTAAATTAAATGTTTATAAATACTCACCCGTTCCTTGGCATTAAGCAACTTAAGAAGCTCCACAAACTCGTATTTCTCGTAAGATCCAAGATGCTGGATTCCACATTGCTTTTCCAGGGTCTTCAGGAAAATGAGTTGCAATAAATCGTTTCACAAACTCGAAATCAATCAGTATATGTAAAAGGACTTACCCTACAAACAAAGCCGTAGCTGTTGCTGACATTTGAATACTTATGTTGGTCCCGCAAGACGTACATATTGCAAAAAAATTAAATAAACAAAAATAAAAACACTTTTATGTTGAGCCGCAAATAGTTAGTGTGACCGCAGCCAGAGCGCCTAAAGATACCAAACGCTTATTGTGTGCGCCTAAAATTGATAGTCGATATTTATCAGTGCTTTGGCCTCGATCATTTTCAAAATTTAAAAAAATAAACGTTAGAAAAGTGATTTGTTTAAAAGAGTTTTATTTTATTTATAACAAAAGAGTGATCAATTCCTCTTGAAGGGCACTTTCAGTATCATTACCACTTTCACTATAGATGTAAACACTAGGTAGGCCACGAACAGACTGAGCTCGGTGCGGCTGCAGCGTCTGTATTTATAGTCTCCGAGTAAAGAGAACAGAGAAAGTGAGAGCGAGAGAGAAAGAGCTTTCTCTAGAGATGCTTAGGGGCAGGTAAATAGAAAGAGCTATCTCTTGAGATGCACAAAGAGAGAGAGAGTGTCAGAGAGATTGAGAGAGACGGAGAGTTAGAGACACTTAACTCGGCTGTCGATGCTGATCAAATTAACTTTATATAATTGGAAATAACTAATTTACTGCGTTACAAACTTCTTAATCAAATTATTAATTTGCAAGAGCATAATTATAATACTCTGCCAGGCTATAAAAATAAATCGGACTTGTAGAACTCTTCATTTGCTTCATTTAAGCAATTATCTTTTATAAAAAATAAGTTTACGTTCAAACGAAAATGTTTAAATGTTTATTTAATTTAATTAAAATTACTTACATTAATTAAGTATTTTTAGGCATTCTTGAGCATTTTAGCTTGGAGATTCCTTAAACTTTTTTAAGAACTAAGTTTTTATTCTAGTATTATTTATTTTACGCAGTAATCTTTGCGCTGCTGTCGTATAACCGCGTTCAGTTTGAGGCACTGCTGCCTCAGGGCATCGTTGTCGCCCTTCAGAATCTCAATGGTCTCCTCCTGCCGCTGGATGGTATGATGGACACGCTTCTGAAGCTGATCCATCTCCTGCTTGTGCCGCTCGGTCAGCACGGCTAGTTCGCCCTGGATGTCCGCGTTGAGGTTGTCTCGGAGTCTGTCCCGCTCGCTGATGATGTCGCCGCACATCTTCTTGCTATGACCCAGCTCCAGCTGAAGCTGCTGCACCTCAGCTTGACTGTTTCGAACTTGGGCATCCGCCTCCGCCAGTTTGCCTCGCGTCTCTGCATATTTCTCCCGCAAGGACTTCTCCACACTCTCGGCCAGTGCCAGATCCTTCTCGTACTTCTCCTTGAGGCGACTGGGGAAACCCTTTATTAAATTACCTTCCCTCCACTTTTTTAAATAATTTACTCACGCCATCTTCTGCTCATGCTCCTCGCCATGTTGCAGTGCATCAGCCTCCATGCGTACCACCAGCTCGTCCAGCTGGCGATCCCTCTCCGCCCGATAGTGCTGCCGAATGGCATTCTCCTTCTCTGCCTGGGCCAGCTTGGCCTTGTTCTCGTGCTCCGCCTTCCAGAGCTCAAAGTCAGCCTGGTACTGCTGCTCGATGGTGTTGATGCGGTTCTGATACTTCTCCTCCTGCTTGGCCATGCGCTCCTGCATCTCAAACTTGGCCTGCTCCAGTTCCTGCTCCTGTTCCCGCAACGCCTCCTGGCGGCGCACCTGATGATCAGACTCCCGCTGTCGGAGCTCTGCCTGCAGGCGCTCCCGCTCAGCGGCAAACTCCTCGACCAGTTTCTGGCGCTGCTCGGCCTGGGCGCGCTGCTCCTCCTCCAGTTGACGCTCAAATCTCTCACGGATGGCTGTTCGCTCCTTCTCGATAACGGCCTCCCGATCCTGGGCGCAGCTCTCGCGGATGCTCGTCTCGATCTGTTCGTGCTTGGTACGTGCCTCTTCTAGAGCATCGAGCAACTGCATCTGGTGAGCGCGCTTCAGCTCGGTGACCTGTCGCTGGTGGTCGCAAGTCATCTTGTTGATCTCTGCCTCTAAGCCCTTCACCGTGAGCTCCTGGAAGGGATATTGAAACAATAAAAAACGAAATAATCTAATATTAAGCTTTTCTACCTTGATCTTCTTGGTATTCTCGCGCACCCAACGCTCTCGTCGGATTTTCTCGCCCGCCATTGTGGTCTCCTTGGTCTTGGCCAACTCCGTTTCCAGGCGGTGCTCCCAGGCCTGATTCTGGCTCTCCAGGCGACGGGTAAGGGCAGCCACCTTCTCGCAGAGGGAGCCTTTGTCTTTGAGCAGCTGCTCAATGAAACCCTGATGACGGGTCACCACCTCCTCGTAGTGTTTCTTCTGGTCACGCAGCTTGGCCGCACCACTAGACTTCTCGGCACGCAGGCTCTTCTGCTTTTCGCCACGCAGCTGCAGGACATGCTCCTTGGACATGTGGATGGCGTTGGCCAGCTCATTGGCCCGCAGGCTTAGAGCAATGACCCTACGGGCCAGCTGGTGATTGGGCACCATGAGCAGTTCGGATAATCTGGAATAGCAGGGAATGTAGGGTAAGAATTCTCAGGAGGCCATCATATAATGTACGCACTTGGGCACCTCATCGGTGACATCGGGTTCCACCACGAACTCCACTTCGGATCTAGTGCTCTCCGGGATGGAACGACGTGTTTCCATCAGGGTTTTATCGCAGCTGCTCTCCACATTATTCAGATAGGCCAAAATGTCTCTGTGGAACAGGGTTTATTTCGAGTTAAGTTTTATTTAAATCCATACTTACTTGTATTTATCTCCGCTCTCCGGAACTGCTCCCTCGCTGAGGGTCACCGTTTCGGCGGTCTCACAACGCGAATCCAACTTCAGGTTAAGTTCACTGGGAAGACGCTCGGAAAAGTTGTCTGCAAAGTTATATATTTAGTGGGAAACCAGTAATATATCCAGCTGCTCACCCCTCTTCTTGTCCTCCTCAATTTCCTTGATGACGGACACAATCTCATCGTATGTAGAGTCCCTGGAATCTTCGTTCGACTTCAGGGAGATCTGGGAAGCACTGTCATTGTCCTGGGCCTCGTCCAAGTCCTCCAGTCCCGGCTTGTTCTTCTGCTCGAACTGCTTCTGCTCCTGCATGCTCATCCAGCTGTCCACCTTGTCCAGATTGTATTCGGAAAGCTTACGCTCCCCCCGTAGGCTGCCCACACTGATGGCCTTCTTCAGCTTGCCCTGAGAAGGTGTCACCGTATTGACTGTCGTTTTTGTCGTCTCCTTCGACTTGCTGTTCCGGGCTATGGGATCCGCACTGGCCGGCTTCACGTTCTCCTTTTTCTTGCCCACGAAAGGAGGCGCCGAGGCCACCTTGAGGTAGTTATTGATGACCGAGTCGGAGCTGGTGGTACCGAAGGATCGCCGATCCTCCTGCACGGCGGGCAGGAAATTGTTTTCGGCACCAAAGTTCCTTGGATTGGGAGTTGCTCGGTAGGAAGTACCACTGTTATTAGCAGAAGTACTTGTGGAGGAGGAGGAGACCAGATTCTTGGTCTCGGATAGGTTGTTTTGCTTCTCCTTAGTCGGAGAGCTGTACTTGCCCATATATTCTGGGAGTGGCTCAATGTTGTTGAGGGGTTCGGGTCCCAAGTGATTCTTCACCACCTGGACACTGCCCACTGCCTGCTTGTACTCCCTGATCACATTTAGCTCTGGCGTGGGAGTCTTTTGTAGACTGGGAGTAGGAAGTGGAAGAGGAGCTTCCAGATGAGAAGTTACCTCCGCAAAGCGACAGCTAGGAGCATCACAGGCACACTTGAGCTCAGCCGTTGAGGCTTCGTTGGTGCTCGTGGTGGAAGAGGATCGAGTGCTGCAAGTGCAGTTCTCAGAGGGGCACTTGGGATACTCGTAGGTCTCCGCCAGCACCTCTCCCTCGGCGGCAGTGGAGCCAAAGTGGACGGATTTCTTCTGGCCAGCCGGATCAGTTGGTTCCGTCTGTTTGCTCAGGAAACTGGGAAGAGTTAGAGGTCCCGGAGCAGAGATGCTAGGACGCGCCTCCTGCTTGTCATTATCGCAGTCACTGGAGTCCAAGTCGGTGTGCATATTCGGCTTGCTGAAGGAAACTCTTCCAGGAAGATCTGGCTTGGCAGTACGCTGAAGCAGAGCCCCATTACTTAGACCCTGCTGCTGGCCCGAATAGGAACTGTACGAGGATTTACCCTTGTCACTGCCTGGCATGGTGACCAGGAAACGCTCCAGCTGCTGCTCCCCCTCCTCGCTGCTGTCGGGGGTGCGTTTGTGCAGCGAGTAGTCCGACTCGGAAGAGTTGCAGGTGCTGCGGCACAGCCAGCTCCGCTTGATGGGCTCCTCTAGCAGAGACTTAAGCAGGTCGTTGGACGAGACTTGTCTCTGGAAAGGAATCGAGGTACTTACTGGTTATCTAAGCCCCAGGCTACCACTCACCTTGCCGCTGTGCCGGAGCTCCTTGTCGCCAAAGTAGCTGCTCTGTCGGCGACCGAACTTGGGATCCGCGGACTGAGGTCGTCCCAGGAAAGGCGAGGAACGACTACGCTGCTGCAGGAAGTTCGCTGAGCGGGGCCGGAAATGGGGACACGGATTGTGGAGAGTCGTCAGCGAGCGAGTGGTATACTTGGGCTTCGTTTTCTGTCGTGTGGCGAGGTTTATCTAAGGCGGTTCCAAGAACAGATTTTACGGATTGTGTTTTAGGGTATAGGATCATGGAACCTACCTGCGAGCCCTTAAGACATAAATCCATAATAGCTTACGAAAAATGCACTCATCTAGATACTTTTTGAACCCGACTGCCCTGCCATAGCCTGCTGATTTCCGAAAGGCACTGCCGGCCAAGTCCTGGCCCAAGCTTGGTTTGTTTTGGCCAACCACCACCTGACATATCGATTAAACGCATGTGCTAGCTGCCGTGTAGGGGTCAGGAGCAGGACGACGACAGATGTTGGTCAGCGGCGCTGCAACCCTCAAAAAACAGGCGGTCGCCAGTTGACATGGTTACTACGTGCCACCCTCTCACACGTTGCGGAACAGGTGTTGCGGCATCGGTGATTCATCCACCCAACCCCCAACTCCATTGAATTATTATTTTATTATTAATTGTGTCCAACATGTAGAGACTTCCACAATCAATCACCGACTATCGACAAAGGCAAAACCAGCCGAATCGAAGCAATTAATCACGGAAGGTAACTGATTGCGACTAGAGCATATCGAAGGTCATCACCAGGGGGCTTCGGGGGTTCAATGCTAGACATTGTCGGCAAACACTTTCCGTTTTCATTCACATCGAGTGAGTACACATGTGCTCGTTGAGCTCGTGGTCTTAACATTCTTTGATAGCTTCTAGGCATGGTTGCTATCTCCTGCTTTAAGAGCTTTATGCCAAACAAATATTTCTGACTGTAAACATATTTTGAATAAGGCAAAGGAACCCGGGAATCAAGAGCTCATAACCCTTAATAAAATTAAAGACAAAACTAAGCACTTTCAAGTTCTGAGACAATATTCTCCTCTCCAGGTACTTGATACACCTTTCTGTAAACAAAAACAAAGCTATCTTTGTGGAGCAAACTTAAGTGCCTCAAGGGAAAGAAAACAAAATAAGGCTTTCTTCTTATCTCTTTAGCAATCCAAACTCCGAAACATTTTTCAATAATAATAATTTATTTAAATAAAGCAAATGGTGTCTATTGCAATAAACGTAGTTTGGTTTTGCAAGTCCCGGCAAACAACAGATTTTGGGGACTCGGCCTCAACAGCTGGCGACCTCTCTCCATCCTCACTCCATTCTCCACACTCGATACTCGATACTGACTGATGCACGAAGCATAAAATTAAATTTGGCAACATTTCTCGTAATCAACTTAGCAACTAACTCAAAATACAATACAATAGTTGATGGTTTTTTTTTCTCTTGTTTTAACAAACAAATTGCACTACTCCTCTCCGTCCATCCAATCTGATCCGCTTCCTATTCCGCACGCAATGCAGGCGTCACCTGGACATCATCGTTCTGCTCGTCGCTCTTGATGTCAAACTTCAGCTTGGCCAGTTCCTTGAGTTCTCCATCGGCCGCGGAAGGACTGCCCTCGGACACCACCTTCACGGTGTCGGGATAGTTGTTCTCACCGCCACCCAGCTCCTGCGAGAAGCTGACCACTGTCTTGGGCTCATAGTTGACTCCAAGAGCGCCACTGGGATCCGGCGAGGGTATGCTGGGGCCATCGCTGCTGTGGCCATTGGTCTGTCCATTGGTGTGGGAAATGGTGATGGCCTCTTCCTCCTCCTTATGTCCATTTGTGGCTGGAGTTGCCTCCTCCTCCTTGTGGCCATTTGTGGTTGGAGCAGCTGGCTCTACCACATCCACCTGGGCCTCCACTGGAGCGGGAGCGGAAGCGGATGTGGGTGTCACGGCTACGGGTGCCACCTCTACAGCCTCAGGCTCTGGCTCTACTTTCCTTTCAGCCGCCACTGGAGCTGGTTCTGGCACTGCAACTGGAGTTGGCTCGGGAGCTGCTTCCACCTCTGCCTCCTCCTCGCCGGCGACCGCCTTGTTGACCTCCTCAATGGCCTTGGCCACCTCCTCGGGAGCCACATCAGAGCTCTCGGCCTGCGAATGTCCATTAGTGATGGTGGTTTCCTCGCTGTGACCGTTGCTGGTTACGGGTTCCGGTTCGGGTTCGGTAATCAGAGCAGAGGTAACAACAGCAGCCACCTGGGGTTGTTGCTCCGGCTCCTTCTCCTTCTCCTCCTCCACCTTCTCGGCCACCGGGGCTGGGATCTCAAGGGCAGGAACTATGGCCGGGCTGGCCATGGTCTCCACAAAGGAGGTGCGATTGGGCGAGTCTGGCGAGATCATGACGTGAGTGAAGTAGCCACTGCGCCTGTTCTCAAAGTCCAGCACATTCTCCTTGGCCAGTCGCTCCTGGATGCGTCGCTGGCGTCTGATGAACTCCGGCACATCGGCGTCCTCCGAATCGGCGGGTGTGGGTGACTCCGCCAGCTTGGGGCGTCGCAGCACAACCTTGGCGGCCTCATTCTCGCCGTCCGAGGTGCCATTACCATTGGTAGCCCAGGAGGCGGTGCCATTCGAGGGCTTGAAGACACCATTAAACTTGGTGCCGACGATGAATTTGTTGGTATTATTATTGGCCACATTGCTATTGGCACTCTTGTAGGCATTGTAGTTGTTGGTGGCATTCGGCTGGGGCGACAGCGGATTGCCGTTCTCCTCGCCCTTGGGCGACTTGGGAATGGTGAAGTTGGGCTTGCCGTGGCTGATCAGCAGCTTGGTGGCCGGCGAGGGGCTCTTGTCCGGCAGCGGCGAGGGCAGACCACTGCGGATCTGTATGCTCGGCTTGTTGTTGATGGTCTCGGCCATGTCTGTTGTGCTGGGGGATCTGGATCTGGCAGCTGGCGAAAAAGCTTTTACTTTCCGTTTCCGTCAATCGTAACGGGTCTCTGTCGAAGAAGAATGGAGGGAAACCAAGCAAATTAATAAAACATTTAAGAGATGGCAAAAAAAGGGAAAAAAAAAACAAAATAAATTAAATCACTCGTATTCAATCATGCTAATTTTTGACCATAATAATTTTGGGTGAAAAGAGAGCTTGCAGCTGTTTGGCTCACAGCTCATGGCTTAAATAAATATGTATTCAGTATATATGGAGGGAAAATTGCCAGCTAATTGCAACAATTTTGTTTGATTAGGTGAAACCTAAGGTTGATTAGTAGCGGAATAATATCTTATCTAAAACCCTTAACGACGATTTACTGCCGAGGGGTGCAGGCTTAAAGCTAGTCAAGTATTTAGTTTCTAACTACTTCAGGCAGGAATGTATTTATGATTAGATTTTACTGATAGGGGGCATAAATGAATCACCTTTATGGCTTTAAGAATTTCTCTAGAAAGGTTATGAATACTTTTGGCAGGTGATGAATAATGAGTCATCCAAATAATTGAAATTTTTTTGGGGTTTTTTAAGGATTTGATGGCGACAAGTTAAGAATCAGTCAATTAGTTTTGGGGATTTTCTTTAGGTTCAATTAGGAATATACAAAAATAAAGTGCATTTGAAATGATCAACTTTACAGATTATTTCACAGGTTTCATTAGATTTAATAAAGAAAATTACTGGAGAGAGAAACACTTTACTTTAAGCTAAATGCTGGTGTGAAATATTTAGTACTTGTAACTTTTTCAGAACCCAATTAAGAATCTTTACAACAGACCACATTGATAAATTTAATGTCCCTAAAATTGCTTTTCCAAGATCCACCTAAATGAAATTCTTAATGATTTCCTTTCTAATTGATTAGACAACTTTAAAAGTGATTCATTGAATACTTATTCCTTATACCATTGCAATCAATTCACTTGCAAATCATCCATTCGCAATCGTTTCACACGGCGTATGCGTAATTACATAACACAGACTACGCGTCCACTGGCAATGACAGTGCCAGGGTCAGCTACTTACTGTCGCCCATTGTGAGGCCCCAAAAACAAACAAACAAATGTACGTATTCGTTGATTGCTGATAGAGATAAACTTGCTTAAATATCAATTAGATCGATGGCTAGGGTTTGTCCAAGTGAAATGGAACGTCTGGCGCTAGAATTGAATCGAAGCCACCGGACAAAAACAGCTAATTGAATGCCGGACGGCAATCCGTTTTCCGATCATCAGGCCCCATGTGACATCGCAGATACCAGGGGCTACAGCTGACCCAAGTCCATCAGTTGACCAACTCACGTATGGCGATCGGAACTGATATCGAAACAGGTACGAGACTGATACTGATACTGATACTGATACTGATATTGATACGATATGCGATGTGTGATGCGAACGGTTTCGTTGGCGGTCCAATTTCATTAGCATTTACCCATTTACCCCCCTCCTATGAGCCCCTTCGAGGGGCAATTTAATTAAGAGCTGCAATTTATAGAGCTTTGTACACTCGTAAATTCCAGACGCGTTCAATTGCCCCACAAAAAGGTCAGCTCTCGTCTCTCAGTTTTGTTTTTTGATTTGTACCTTCTGATGATTACTTGATTGCTTTACGATGTGAGCTACGAATTGTTTCAGAGCCACGTCAAGTTCAAACAAAGCGATTAGGGTAATGAAACTATCTAGAGAATCGTTAAGGGGTTGAATTTTAATAGCTTCACTGAGACAAAGTGTAACCAAATAAAATGCTTTGTATAATTTCCCAAATATAATTTATATGAGCAGTTTGCAATAGGATAAAAGGAAGATCAGATCACTTAAAGATTATATATTCCTCATTTGGAGGAAAAACGTGAAAGTTATTATAAAATTAGCTAAAAAGGATATTACATATCGTTGAAATGTTTCTCATGGATGTGCCTCAACATGTTTCTGGCAACACTTATCTATTAACAATTATTATTGTTTACTTTTCATTGTTTTATTTAAGATTTCACATCCGTTTAACCATAATACGAGCATTAAATTTAGAAATTTCTTACATCTTCCTATTATATTAATGTGGAAAACCCTTCTTCATAAACCTTCTAAATTCCTTATTTTTATTTATCCAAGTGTATTTCCCCAATCCGCTTATTAATTAGTCACCTAACCAGTCCCAAACTTTCCGTTTATCTCTTTTTAAAATTCTACCAAGTCACGGAGAGTATAGCCTCTGCCTAGTTTTTATAATTGACACACTGACTTAATTATTCATCGTTCAGGCCAACAATCCAGAGAGCGAATGTGCGTCAGTCGGCGTGGAGTTGGTTTATAACGATTTTTTCCCTTAACCCATGACAGGCAATTAAAAAAATTAAAAAACAGTGTCTGGGCCTGATAAAGGCGAAACGAAAACGAATTTATAGCCCGAGACTCTCTGGTTATTTGTCGAATGTTTCAACTGTGCCGCCTGAGCCGAAAGGCTTAACGCGCAAATGTTTACTTTTATGAGGTGGGCGGGAGTGTTAATTGAGCGAAACTGGGGATGCGATCTTACCGGCACATTGTACCTACAACCATACATAATTCCAAATAAAAATATTTTGTTTTCGCCACTCTCTGCTATGGGTATTTGTTCAATATATATTTCCCACTCGGTTACCCGGCCATCGACCAATTTGGCCTTGAAATAGCTGCTGTGAAGTGCATAAGCTGGCTAACAAATTTGCATAAGGTGAACGAGAATGGAATACTATTGAGAATGAGCTTCGGTTTGGCACTCACTTCTCGCTGAGAACCACATTCTGTGATTAAATAATCAATTTTCAGCATTCATGGCACTTTAGGAGTTACCTATGTAAAGTTATTTTTAGAGTAAGGTTGCGATATGAATAATATTGAACTAAGAAACACTCAGCTCTATGTGATCTAGTCTCGAATAATGTATATTTGAAATCTAATGAAAGTTTTGAAAACTAATAAAATGCACCTTTTGTTGGTCTGAAAACGAAAGCATCTAGACACACACATAATATCCATGGGGATTGGCAAACTTTCTTATAAACAATCACAAATATATGTATACAATACACATTTCACCCAAATTCTTTGCATCTTCGAATTCAGGGTGTGAATTGAGGGGCCCGAGATAAAACCTTTGGGCCATAAAAGAGCTTTTGCCATAGAAATTCGATTTGGTAGAGGAGTCCCCTTTCAACTGAGTTGCGTGAGATCGGTGCGTCTATCATGGCGCAGATCAAATTAGCTTCTTGGCCGCCTTTTCCTGAACCTTTTTCGGTTTGGAGGAGGCTACCAACCAAGTCGTTGTGGTTGCCAGCAAACTCGGTCAGCCCAGTGGGAACCGAGAGACGGCAATGCGAGTACAACAATTGCAATCTGTTTTGCAGTCTCTGGCTGGGAACCGCTAACTTGGCCAAGAGCTGACACTGCTGCCACTGCTGCTGCCATAAATATCAGTCAAAAAAGGGTGCCATGGGTAAGGGTAATCTTATCGAAGACAAGAGTTTGCCATTGCCAAAATCGAGGCTCGGTTCTGATAAGAGCAGCCGAGCAGCAGCCAGCATAATCCGAGGTGGCGATAAGACCTGCACCGGGTGCCTATTACCCAATCATGTGATTAAAGCCAAAAGAAAGTGAAATCGGTGGCTGGCATAAAGAAAGGCATAAAGCGGAGCCCGAGTTCAAGGTACGGCGATGGATCCAAGCGAGAGTGCTTTGCCGCCTGGCCGCATAATTAGTTGTAAATATTTTTCATACGTTGGAGCTGGGCAATTTATGGGATTTATGGTTATGTGCTCGCTGGATCGTCTTCAAAGCCGTGAAAGTTACACAGAACCAAAAATGGCATCAAAAGTCAATAGGGAAATATTATATATTTCCACATTTGTTAGATTTCGTATATATTTTCTTTGTGTGCAGTGTTCTGAGGAATTTAGTCATGACCCCCGGATCATTGAGTATATAGAACGTGTTAAAGATACGCGTCAAATTCGATATAGTTGGGCTATTTTAACGGCCACAAATGTCAAAGTCACGAACGCTAAGCGGCTTTGTTTTTTTTTTCGCAGTGGCCAACGCGGCGTATGAGCAATCGTAAGGAGCTCAGGCAATATTTACACGTTTGCAGGTTTTTCTCAAAAAATACCTAAACACTCACTCACACACACACACTCATGCATACTTTTGATACTTTTTGGCACTGAAAGTTGGCTATAATGGAGACGCACCTATAATGACAGGCTAACTGTTTTGTGTCGTCCGCTGCGTTACCGTAAAACGCCGAATCGTAACTGAAAACTGAACGCTGGCAACGAACCTGACCAACTTCGGAGTTCGGACGCCTGGAGTCGGCTCGGTTATCGCTCTGCTCGTGCGCATATAGCTATATGGCTATATGACTCGTATATTGTGGCAAAATAAATACAAATACGAATGCGAAAAAAAATAAAGAAATACCTGAACGGCGAACGGCGAGAAAAGCTGTTCGCTGTCGGCGCTTAATAGCCGCTCTGAAATGCCCTGGAGGCGCCTCCCCCCCAAGTCCGCGTGAAAGGTGCTCGTGCTCCCTTGAGGAAAATACTGGCCCCCTTCAGCCGATGTGTGTACATTACTTAATTGCTGGCAAATTATGCATCATCTGGACGAGCAGTGGACAAAGTGGACACTTCCGACACGGCCGAAAAACGAAAAGAAAAGCCCACAAGTAATTATTTCTGTAAATATTTAACCAAGGCTGGTTTTACACGTGCACCACATTCATATGATCAGCTGCAGGAGCTTCTATAGATCATGAATATGCTTTGATTCATTGAGATTATCTGTTTTTTTGCTTGGTAAATTGCATTATAGTGAGCAATACTATGTATTTGCTTTGGCTTACTACGGGAACACGTATTTTTACTTCTCGCGCAGTGTTGGTTATTCAATCAGACTGAGATTATCCATGGCTTGGCTTTATGGCCTCTGCAATTATGGCGTATATTTATAGACCAGTTATTAACAACAACAAAAAAACCCGTTTGTGGGACTCCTCAACTTACTTTGGAGGGTCTTTTAAATTAAAGTACTAATTGAAGAAGAGCCCCAGTCTGATGTTATCTCATACAAACAATAAATGTCATAATAAATATTTTATCATTATTTCAACAAGGCCAAAAAAACGTGCAGTTCTTTTATAAGTTAAGTCAATAAGAGTTGTTTTGATTTTTATGGATATATTGCCGTGTAGACATATAGTTGACAAGCCAATATTTATTTAAAGTTTATTATAGCTGGAATTTCCTACACATTTTTGGGGAAATATTTCCCTAATTTATATTTCTATCTATTTTTCTGAAATCAAAGCTGATAAAGTCTCAGAGTTCCTGCAAAGATGTCTGACCTTAAAACAAACTATCTTGGTTAAGAAATCTTTAAGTGTGTTCAAAATAGAGTTAAGTTCTTCTGGAAAAACCTAATCAAAACTCTTTTAATTGAAAATACCAGAAGTCCTTGACTTTAAACAATTCCCTTGAACTATAATTCACACGTTTTCAGTGCCTTTTGAAAAAGAGATTTGGGTTTATGCCAACTCGAGTTACCAAAAAGAAAACAACAAACAAACAAAAAAAACTACTACACACGCGAAGCCATATCGGCTTGATAACATTTTGTGTTCGAATGTGTTGTGTTTTTTTCGCTGTCGCCGTTTGATTATTTCGCTGATAGCGAGAGCAAAGTGTATTTGCTATTTACACGATTCTGTGGGTGCCCTAATGCGAGGCTTCCGCCCAAAAGCTCTCCAGCTCCCAGGCGATTTCCCCGCGGCCATGAAAATCGTGAGGGAGTGACGGCAACGGAATGGAGCTGGCTGGAGCAGGGCCACCAAGTGGTCTGGAGAGGAGGATTGGAGTGGGCAAAGCCGTTTGACTTGTGCGCTGCGCCTGCGGGGAGTGGCTTTGGCCCCAAAAACGGAATGAATGCCCCATATACATACATGCTCCAAGCCGTCATAAGGCCAGGAAAAACTGGTAAGCCTGCACAGTGAAAAAAATCAAAGGCAAGTGGGTCAATCGTTTTTGACGCGTTTTAGGCGGCTTTGAAGATGGAAATTTTTGATTGGGATTATTAATTTTGTAAGCTATTATATTTATAATATAAATCCCAGAAGTTTATAATGAGATTACACTTTTAATTTAAGAATTTCTTTTCATTTCGCTCTGTGTGGCGACCTGTTTTCGCCTAGCGGAGCAGAAGAAGCCAGTTTTGGCCAGTGGCGCTGGCCACCCAATCGATGTGCTAATTACTGGGGCTCCAGAATGTGCCACAAATGCCAGAACGTCGAGAATGTCAGAATTTTTTCGGAATTCTAAAAACTTTTCTGCCATGCGAGCTGGCAATGTTTGCACATCATTACAATTACGCCGTCGCCGAGTGCTTTATTTTAATGATCTATTTAGCGAGTGCAGTTGAATAACACAACGCTAATTGACACACACACTTGAGCTCCGATTTTGATTCGGAATGGGAATCGGCAATCGGAATCGGTATAGTAACCTTGACAGAGAAAATTTCCAATTAACGGCGCCTGCCAATTTGCGTACACTGTGCGCAAAAGAGACTAGCAAAAAGTGGCACACTCTGCTCCGGTCTTCGCTGTTAAGAATCATTATTAATTATTTTCGTTTTGGCGGAGAGCAATTATGCCACATAATGACAGCGGCAGTTAACTAATTGGGTCGTTCACTCCGAGGAGACACAGAGAGATGGAGAAAGAACCCAAATTCTGGGGACTGCCGGCTGGCGGCTGCGTGATCGGTGGTGTGTCTTATCGGGGCATTATTGGGAATTGGATTGGGGAAAAAACACACATTGATTGGCTTGATTATATGCACAATAAATATATACAAGAGTCGATGACTTGTTCACTTCTGTCAGCTTTCCATTCGTTTATGGTAAATTGCTGGGCGCTGCTGCCAATTAAATTAGAAATTGTTGACCAGCCCGAAAACCAAAAACTTTGGTCGTCTGTCGCTGCTTGTTTTGCATAAAAAATTAAAACTTGGACACACAAAACGAAACATACAAATTGTTATTGTTGTTGTTGTTGTTGCTGATGTCGCTGTTGCCGTTGGTGCACGCGGTGTTAAAACTTTCGAATCTGCTCGGTCGGGGTTTGCTTGGATCGTATCGGATAGCGCAAAAACGCTCTGCACAGGCGCGTAACGTGTTTTCAACTGAAGCTCAGCAGCTCGCGAAGGCGATCGCGGCTCAACGCGTTGCCGATCAACAGCAACAACAGCAGCAGCAGCAACATTAACAGCAACAACAATGCCAGCTTTAATGAATGAAAGCGTAATTTTTCCAGCCGCCTTTGTCGGGGCCAACAATGTGCAGTTTTTGTACGCCAGCCACAATGCCCGTCCTTTGAGTTCGCACACAAAAGACGAGCAAAACAAAAGCCAAGAGATCAGTCAAAACAAACATTGCATCAGGCAAGCCAAAATTCCTGTTTGAATTCGATAGAGCTGGAGATATCGATCGCCAGAATATCGAATAGGCATTGTGCAACACTGGTACTTTGCTAAGATTTTCAATACTTTAAAAATGCTGAAGTCCATGCACTATTTATTTACTTAACAATATTAAATTATATTAAAAAGATTTAAAAATAAGTTGTCAAATAAATAATATAAATTAAATAATAATATTAAATATTAAATAATAATAAATATTAAATAAGTAACTTCCGATGCGCCTTTAAAATCTCATTTTATTATTTAACTCAAATATTACTACTTGTTTTAATTTTATCCAAGTGAGCACTTACATAAATAAGCTCTTGCCTTAGTTATAAATAAGAAAATTATATACAATTAGCATTTATTTATTATTCTTTAAAAATTAAATTAAATTAAATAAATTAAACGATTGCGCGATAATAGTTTACCACTCTGGTCACCCTAAACGCAACCCCGCGTTGCCAACTTCCGCCTAACTGACGGTATATTCCGTTTTAACGCCTACGGCCACATTAATTTCAATCTATTTCGACGCGACGCGACTCACGAGAAAAACAATTGCATTTTTAACCAATTTTACGAGGAAAATTGGGCAACGGCATTTGTAACGCATCCGCCGGAATAGGCGCCACCAGATGAGTGGCGCACACATGAAAAAATGGCATTGAATAAACGGATTAACCCGACCCCGGAGGGTCTACCGGGCGTCACGGAGTTGAACTACAAGTTTGCGTGTCGATGCTGCCTGAAAGCGGACGCAGAGTTCATTAAGCTAGATTCGGTGTCGGTTGCGCGTAGCCTGGACCCAGCCAGCGAGGAGGATAAGATTTCGCTCCTGCGGTGCCTTGTCTATTGCGTACGCGCGGATAATGCGCCAGAGCTACCGCAGTACATCTGCATAGAGTGCAGCCAGAGCCTGCAGGTCGCCTACTATTTCCTGCAAAATGCAGTCCGTGCCCACGAGATCCTTTGTCGCAAGCTGTGTCCCAGTAAATTTTGGAACGCTGAGGGCAGGCGCTTCAATGGGGCTATAGGCCGGCGCTTCCAACCATCGCCATCTCCCAGAGAGGTAGGTGTCGGGCGGGAGGCAACGGGGGTATGACGCATTGTGCCTACAGCGCCTTTCTCTTTGTTTACTTTCAGACAGCGACGACTTCGGGGGACAGGACGAGGCCGCCGAAAAGCATGCGGCAAGAGTGCCAGGTGTGCGGCGATATCTTCAATAGTCGCATGGAGCTCAAGCAGCACCTCCGGCAGCATACAGGTACAGTTTTAAGCGACCACCATATCATGTGCTGGATTTAATGATTGGGGAAACCCATTTTCCCATTTTATTTATTTTTGTAGACGGAATCTCTTACCACTGCAAGATGTGCAACTTTACCACGCTAAAACAGCGGCAGCTTCTGGATCACTATCGTTTCGATCACGCCATGCCTTCCAGTCAGGCGGAGGAGCACGTTAAGGCCAGTCCCATGCCGATAGCGCCCATTAAGGAGGATGAGGTCAAGGCAGTGTGCACGCTGGAAGACATGGAGCTCCTTATACCCACGGTGCTTACACCGGACGACTACGTTCAGCCCACGATTGATTCGGAACAACTGCGCGATCTTGAGCAGCACCTTGCCGCCAGCATGGGTGATGCTGTGACCAGTGTGGACAGCCTCACGTCAACATTGCCGCCCATGGACACGGCGCACAATGTGAGCATTGGCACGGAGTATCTGGTCCTGCCGGATGGATCCCTACAACAGATCAACGGAGGCGGTAGGTTCCCCAGAATGTGAAGTGCTTGAGTGGATATTATATTCCATACCATATTTTCCAGGAGTGGTCATCGAGTACATTGACGACAGCAAGCCGCAGAAGCCGCCACCACCTCCTCCCAATCCTCCGCATGTCAACGTCAGCCTGCAAAATCTCCTCGGCCCAGATGACGATGCAATGGATATCGATGTCAGCGAGCTAATCGTCGAGGATATGATGGCGATACATAAACCCACCATTTCCACTGCAGTTCCCAATCCAGTCAAGCCAAAGCCAACCGTTGGTTCCCAAAACTACAAGCACAAGTGCAGTATATGTCCCAGGACTTTTTCCTCCATGCCACGCCTGAAATCTCACCAGTTGACCCACAGCAGTTAGTTGAATTGCCTTGTGTGTGTGTGAGAACCCAATAACTACAATGCTTTCTCTTTGCTTTAAACAGATTTGCCGAAGTTCTTCTGCGATCAGTGCGACTTCTACTCGCTGCGTAGCGTCGATCTCATCGAGCACTACAAGACCACACACCATCGGGTTGATGAGAACGGTTCGACCAGCCACGACCCGGGGTCAGAGGAGACTGGCGTCTATTCGTGCGACATGTGCCTCTTTGAGACGCGCACCTGCAGCCAGCTTAGGGTCCACTACACGAATCACCACGGGATCCAGCCCACAGAAGTACAGCTGCGTCCCAGTTGGACAAACAACGGTGGCAATGAGACCAACAACAAGGAGCTGTCTTCGATCGGCAGGCAGCCAGAACCCGCTGACCTGCCGGTGGCCATTAAATGTGAGTCTTGAGAATGTAAAAGAAAAGAAAGTTCTAGTTTTATACTTTCGATTTGCTTATTATTTTATTTGAGTTCCCTAGTTTTCTATTCATTATATCGCTTTCTTTGACACTTTCTTTAATGCTTCGAATTGCAGATCCGCCGCTAGTTGGAGATTCGCAGGTTCCAGTGGAAGTTCAAGCACCAGTGCAGCAACCAGTTCTAGTACAGCAGCAACCTGTGGTGGTCACTACACCAACAACGCTTTACCCACAGACAAGTAACAACATAAACGTGGTGGTGGATACGACTCCGCTGTTTTATGCGTCCACCACTTCCAGTACCGTGCAGGCAGGGCCAGTGCCGGTGCAGACCATGCAAATGCCGGTCCAAACCATGCCAGTGCCGACCGTGCAGACCATGCCAATGCCTGTGCAGGTCATGCCTGTGCTTCCGCAGGCAACAACTGTGATGGAGTCCGCCAACGAGAATAACAGCAATGCATTCGATATCCAAAATCCATTTCCAAAAATTCTACCTAGCAATGAGCAGGAGAACGAAGCCGTTCCCGTTGATTCAATTTCGACGGCCAACACTTCCAATATCTCAATGTTTGGCGATATGCAGGATTTCATTGATAACACCGATGTGGCTGCCATATGCACGATACCAGCGGACGATATGCCCGTGGTGGATGGCGATGATATTGTGATCGATAATAACAATATTAGCCTGGACTTTGATGCCGATAATCTGTTTGAGGAATTCGAGGAGGAGGACGATGCGGTTGGTGAAGACGAGGGAGAGGAGGAGGAGGAAGAGGACGAGGCGGATAATGATGATGAGAATGACAACAACGATGCTGCCACAGATCAAAATCTGCTGCTTACCAGCGACGATGATGACGTCGACGACTTTGATGATGAGCAATCGAAGCATCTGCAGAAGCCTTACTGCATATATTGCAACAAAAAGTTCACCAGTCAATACAAGTTTGAGAACCATATGTTTGTCCATCGGGGTAAGTTGGAGGGAACTCATACGGAGGTACAGGCTTATAAACTAACCCTTTTCTCCCTTCAGGCCTGGCCCCCTATCGCTGCGAGCTCTGCACCAACCTCTACAACATGAAGCGCCTGCTAATCAGGCACTATAAGACCGTGCACAAACGAATGCCAACCAGGGACATGGTCCAGGCCAAGGGCGATAAGGTACTGGTAGCCCGTACAAACATCGAGAAGCTCTATCTCGATGGAATCAAAAGTAAGCTACATAATTGATATAAGAAGAAGCACATTGAACTCATTCAATTTTCTTTTAAATGAAGGTCCAATGGTCATGTGCGCCAAGTGCCCGTATGAGTGCGAGGCGGATGGAGAAATGCGAAAGCATCTGAATGCCCATCACGGCATTAATGATGGACGTAAGTCAGGAATATCATTTTCCCCCATATACAGAAGCGACTGTTAGGGGTTGTTAACTTTAAATTTAAAGCCATATTGAACTATTTTGTAGAAATTTTCAGCTTACTATCATTAATTTTGTATTCATTTGTCGCTGTGCTTTCGATTTCAGTGTCCATTCATGCCAACGAGGTCTTCATTATACGCAGTAAGTATCGAAAGTCGATCTCTTTTAAATAACAAACCACTCATTCCATATTTCATGATCTATTCACAGAATTGCCGTTCGAGTGTCCGCGCTGTATTCGATCGTTTGCTGCCAAGGGCACACTTACCCGCCACCTGCAGCGCAGCCATATGGTGGACACCATTATCGAGATGCAAGCAGCTCACTCCTCGTCAGCCACCACCACCATCACAACAACGACTGCCTCTATAGCCGGACCAGTAGGAGATAGAGAATCTATTAAGGACGAGATGATGATGACGACGACGACGGCTGCTGCAGGCAATGGTAAGAGCCTCAATAGCCATGCAAGAATGAACTCAAATTCCCATTTCAACTCTGCCCGACACCAACTGCCTACGCATCCCCCTTTAATTGTTAAATCTATGTTTGATGACCAACAATGATCTTAGAAGTGCTGGGAAGAAGCCAGGATGATGTTACCGCAACAGGAGCGCCAGTAAAAAAGAGTTGTGCAGTGTCAGAAGAAGATGTAGATCCGGTAACATTGGACGCAGCCACTGCGGCAACGACAGCAGCCATAGCAGCGGCAATATCCTCCGCATCCGCATCGCCCAGCACAACAACAGCCTCGGGTCCTTCCGCATCCAACCTTTACCCCACTCCCACACCGTTTGATTTCGACTATGATCTAATGGGCAGCGATGCGCAGCGATCACAGGTCTCGACACCCACCTCCAACCCCCAGTTCGGATCGTCCGGCAGCGGTCTGCTCAATGGCAGTGACAAGCTACTGACCACCGCAGCCATGTCGCCATTTCCAACGAAGGGTCTGCGCTCCAACAGGCGGCAGGCCCATAGTTCGATCTACATGTGCAAGCTGTGCAACAAGTCCTTCGACGAGCTGGGCAAGCTGGTCAAGCACGAGATGGAAATGCATTCAAACACGGAGCCCTCGCGATGGGGTTACCAGCACAAATGTTCCATCTGCAGTACCAGCTACCGCACATTGACATTGCTCAAGTTCCACATGAAGCGACACGTCAACCGAAAGTCGCAGTGTAAGCTTTGCCCAAAAATATTCGCAACCAACGCGGAGCTGGAGAGGCACATGAAGGTCAAGCATTGCCGCGAGAAGTTAATTGGTCCGTGTGCGATAGATGGTTGCGGGAAGATGTTCGCCTTCAAGCATCATATGGTGCGGCATCAGAACGCCTCTCATCTGAAATCACGTCATATCTGCGAAGTGTGCAATAAGGAATTGCTGACCGTGGCGCACCTGAAGTCGCACATGTCACTGCACAAGAACATGGTAACCTACAGGTGTCCCGAGTGCGACCGCCCATATTTGCGACGCGGAAGGTAAGATGCTGAACACAACCTCTGCCCACTGAATTTTATGTCTAACTTTTAAAATTGTTCTTTCCATATCTAGACTTCTGAGTCATCTATTAAAAATTCACAAAAAACGCCTAACCGAAGAAGAGATAACCGTCCTCTTCAGCGGAATTAAAGAAGACCCTAGCCCTCCCCAAAGCCCGACTCACAGTCCGCCGCAAAGTCCGAATGATCTAAAGATGATGACGCGTAAGGGGCAACTGGGGCTCCGCAAGAGCTTGGAGGTGGATGAAACGGTTGATAAGGAGGAGACGCGTTTGGATGCGGATTCGGCAGCGGAACCTAATCTTTCCAAATAGCCCAGAATTCTTCCTTGCTAAGTAATCGCACAGTGTACAAAGTATGTTATACTCTAAGTACTGTTCTTCATCCCTCGTTTAAGTGCATATAATGTCCTGGAGTTTACCATTAGGTTGTTAATTAAGTTTCAAATTATGTTAGCCGAAATACAGACAACAATCTATCTATACATATATATCACTCTGTATAGCAGTTATTGGTTTTAAGTTAATCTGAGTAGACTTGCGTTTCTCAGCCCAAAAGTAGCATAAGTTTAAATGGTATCATGCGCGTAACGGCGTCAAAAGGACTCTGGCTCTGTAAAGGGACTGCCTGAGGATCAAGTATTTTGTAATCAAAGTCCTTAATAGAATATTTAAGTCCACTTATTTTAAATGATTTTTCTATTGATTATTTATATTAAAATACACAGATATATATATGCTATGTTATTGAAGCACTTATCCCCTTAGAGTTTTTTTAACTAGAGATTGAACTATATGTGACAGAAATAAATATTCGAAAAAACATAAACCAAGATACTTATTAAAACATATGAGGCTACTACTCAGGTCAGGGAACTCCCGTCTTAAAGTTATTCCACTTCCAGCTCCACTGATTCTCCAAGCTAACCAGCTGTTGATAGGATATAAAGTCGTCCTTGACGAACTCCTTCAGGCGAGCCAGCTGCATCATTGCCTCCTCAATGCTGTATATGGGCTTAACCAGATCTACTGACGAGAGGTCATCGTCTCTGTTCGAGATGGGCTCGCTCTTCACAATGATGGCTTCAAACTCCCGCACATCCAGGCTATCACCAGTCTCATTGTAGTCAATATTGTGCCTCTTTCGCCACTTCTGGAGCCAGCCAGGGGATGCGGAAAATCCGTCATAGCCCATCTGTACCGCTATCTCCCGCGCTTTTTCGCGGACAAACTGGCCGGATATGGGAACATTATCTTTTCTGGTCAAAGAAAACCAGTCGAAGACTAACTCGTCAATATGGGCGCCATGCTGGCTCAGGGGATTTCTCCTTACTTGGCTCATATTGAGGTGTCCGGATATCAGTCCGTTGTTTATAGCATCTTTGTTTCTCAAAATCTCGTGGGCTTGTGTTTTTCCAATGTTAAACCTGAAGGAATTCAAAATTAACGCATATATTATACTACCAAAGACGACGCCGTTACCTGTTGGCCAGTTCCCGCACTGTTAGTTTTTCATCCTCCTGCGTCCGGATCACGGCCAGCTTCTCCTCTAGAGTAAGCAATTTCCTGGGGCACCTGCGTTTGTCGGGTGTATCGGGTGGCATTACAGCTGACAAGCAATGGTTTTAGGTCAGCAGAAATCCGTTCATTTGTCCAAAGGCGTACAAAACGTTGCAGAATCTAGAGAAACATTGTCCGCTCAAGGGAGTGTCCGTTCGTGTGTGTTCGATATATTTATGAATTCGATAGATGCTCAGCAGGGTGGACCTTGGTATTTGTCGGGTCTGCATTTTTATATATAAGTAACTATACTACACAATTCCAAAATTAATATTTTATAAACTTAGTTAGAAAAAAAAGAAGCATAACGTTAATATTTGCATTATTATCCCTATTTCATACGGCAAAAATCAACTGAATATTTCGTACCAAAGCTCACCCTAAGGTACAGTGTGACCGTGGCAAGGAGTACCGCTAGTCAGCCGGCCTCGAGAACTTTTGGCAACTGCGCGCAAGGTCCTACGATTTTAGCTACAAAAGAAAAGAGCGGTATAAAATATACACATTGTTTGAGGGATATACATAAATATTTTTGAATCGCAAAACCCACAACGGACAAAACGAAGGGTGAATAGAATCCGGCGACAAGGAGCAACGGACTAGCGCTTATGGATGCCGCAACAGCTGTTGTTGCGGATTCCGCGCTGGTGACCATGAACAAGATAAACGCGGCCAAATGCCGAGCCTGCCTGTCGGTGGACAGAAAAACCGTCCAGCTGAACGCCCCGATGCCGAACCTGCAAAGGTCCCGCACCTACGCCCAGAGCCTGAAACAGTGCACCAACCTGGATTTGCGGGTAAACAGTCCCGGCGGTTACTTATGGCCCATGCAGATCTGCGTGCGCTGCTGTCGCGCCTTGGAGGTGGCCATGCACTTCGTAGAGTTGGCGCTGGAATCGAATCTCAAGCTGTACGCAGAGTCAAAAAGTGTGAAGCTGCCGAGTCCCACGGGGAACTTAAGCGTAAGGCCAGCAGCGAAACTCTTCACTGGAACCAATTCAGCCAGGAATTCGAGCAGTTCGTCTCGAGCTATGAGGGAATGACGGGACCTATCGAGGAGAACGTCCTCTACATGCGCGGGGCCAAGATACCACGTCTCGATGCGGATGTGGCAGCTAGCAAAAAGGCACCCAAAGAGGATGAAGGTAAGGACACTCTGTCTCCTGCCAAGGAATATCCAAAAGTATACTTAATTCCTTTTTACAGTCATCTTGTTTGATGTCAAGTACGACACCAACGATCTGGAGGAAGAGGACGAGAATGACGGGTCAGATGCCAAGAATAACGAGACCTTCTTCGAGAGCAGTATTACGCCTGGAGGGGCTGCTATTGCTAACAAAGCAGTGAGCAGCAAGAACGGTGAAAACAACAACAATTACAAATTTAATAACAAAAACGGAGATTCTTTGCCGGATGAGGAGTGCGATCTTATACAACGCGCCCTATACATGACCCTAAACGAAGAGAGTCCGAAGCCAGCCAAGGAGTCCAACAAAGGGCAACCGCCTAAATGTAAAGTAACCTTAAATATTGATAACAATTGGCCTTTATCGTTTTTTTTTTTTTTTGTTTCTAGCCCGGGAGTGTGATGATTCACCACCAACTCCCAAAGGGAATACAACTCAAATCTTGCCCAATGGCACCATTGCCAATATACCCATCCTCAAGTGCAACATATGCCAATATACTCACACAGATGCCAAGCAGCTGAGAGGTCATTACAAGAGTATTCACAAGATATACATGGCCGAGGACGACATAATTGGCTTGAACAAAAGTAGGCTTAACTTGCATTACAGAGATCTTGCTGAATATTAAAAAATTGTCTTTATTTCCTTACAGATCAAAGCTTTAAGTGCCGACCCTGCAATAGTTATGAGACGAAAGACAGAGCTGAAATGCAAAAGCACCTCATTGATCACCATAAAATAGATGGAGATTTCGGTAGGAACAGATCGAGTTTTTAGAAAGTCCTGTACTAATTTGTTTTCTGCCCACAGAAATGTACTGCTATGTGCAGGCCAACTGTCCGGCTTGTGCACGGATATTCAAAGATCAGAGCTCAGCCCGAAAGCATTATACTCGGGTGCATACACCGGCCCAGGTTGCGACCACACCACCGGAATCGTATGTCTGCAAGGTCTGCGAAAAGGTCTTCAATCAGAAGGCAGGACTGCACAGCCACCAGCGGTTTTGCCAAGTCAAAGATCCCGTGCACTGCACCTTCTGCGACCAGGAGTTCAGCAGCATGCGCAAGTACGAGCTGCATCTACAGCAGCTACATGCTGTCGAGACGTTGCACGAGTGTGAGATCTGTCACAGGAGCTTCAAGAGCGCCGACACCCTGGCCGTGCATCGTAAGCGGCACTCTGAGCGGCACTTTCAGTGCGACAAGTGTACCCTGAACTACGTAAACTCTGCGGAGTTGCGGGTGCACTACGAGCGAGCTCATGTGAACGAGGAGCAGGTGAGCTGCCTCACGTGTGGCAGCCAGTTCCAGAACTTCGCTCTGATGCGCGAGCACGAGCAGAGGAGTCACCAGAAGCAGAAGGTCTGGCGCTGCGAGGTGTGCAATTTTGAGGCCTCGACGAGGTCGCGATGGCGTCAGCACCAGTACGAGCACATGGAGTATCCCTACAAGTGTCAGCACTGCACCGGCGAGTTTGCCGATCGCAGCAAGTACGTATTTTAATCTATAAAGAGGGCAGAAGTTTATCACTCTTACACTTACAGATTCCGTCAACATTCCAAGAAGCTGCATGGCATTGAGCTGAGCGACGAACAGCTGGCGGAGATGTTCCGCGAGAAGAAGGGCTACACCAACCGACACGATGCATTCAATAAGTCGAACAACTCCCTGGAGATACCCGGCTTCACGGACGACTGCTTCACCGAACTGAAGAGCCTGGGCGTTGACTACGACGACATAACCACAGATCTCTTCGCCAACTCCAGCACCCTGGACCACTTGCTAGACTTGATACCCTGAACTGAGGACCGATTCATTTACCTGCATAGAATTTACAAACACGAAGAATAGCTGACGAGAGCTAGAAGACTGTATCCACTTTACAAGCACCTCAACCACAACGCGTAACCGACAAAGCATTCATCACTATACACCACACACATTTAGTTCGATCAGACCACAGTGAAGCCATGATTTTTTTGAACTCATCATCTGAATAAACAAGAAACAAACAAGCGTTTCTGAAGCGCGCCCAATGCTCATGGTTTCATTTATACTCTGAAGGAGGATTTTGTATTTTAAACTATGTAAATTTCAATAACTAGTTAACGCCCTGGATGAACTTTGAGAGGAAGTCTGTGGGTTTGGGTTCCTGTGATTCCTTCCAGTAGCGCATGATGTGGCCCTTCTGCTTCCAGATCTCCACGGACTCCTTCAGCTCCATTTGGCCCTGAAAATAAGACACAGGTGCGTTAGATGCGTCCACCGCAATCTTCGCTCCGCCACTCACCTTGATTACCAGCATGTCTATCACCCGGATGTCCGTCACGTTGCGGTGCTTGACGAACTCCTCGCGCAACTTGTCCCGGCACTGCTCCATGGTCATGGGAATGTCGTAGTCCATGACTGCAAGATCCAGGCATTGTTTATTCCCCGTCGGGATGCGTAGTTCGATGACATAACCAGGAGCACTTACCAATGTAGGGGATCTGGCGGTACCAGGCCTTGTACAGGTTCAGTGCGCGCTTGCGGGCCTCCTCCCGGTCCACGGACAGGATGGGTCGCACCTGCTGCACGGCTCGCTTCACGGCTTCGCGTCCGGCCATTGGATTTTGGATTTGTTTCGGTTTTCTGTTTTTTTACGAATACCTCCCAGCTGAAAGGTGTGACCGTTGTGACTCCGTTGGCATGTCGATTGCAATTTCGATATGTTTGAAAACTTCGGTCACACTAAACTGCACTTTTGACAAGAATTCGCCTCAATTCGCTATTTAAAAACGCAAATGCAATGCCGGACAATTTCCCTCCGTGTGCCATCCGTTTATGGATGAATATGCTGAATAAGGGCTCGGCCCAGCCGGTGGGCCTTCTTCAGAACTGCCTGGTGCCGGCCATGAGCAAGGGTGAGTAGGTAATAAAGTCCAATGGAATCCCTGGTTCTTACCAAGATTTCAATTTTTTCCAGAAGCGGCTAAATTGGCAGTGAAGATTGCAACCGAACGTGGCATCTTGGTGACCAATAAAGACGCCAAGGTCAGGCGCCCCACTCTCAAGTTCTGCCAGAAGCTGAACTCGCTGCGCAAATTTGCAAAGGATCCGTACTGCTACGAATGTCATCTGCCCGGAGAGCTTAGGACGTGCGTGACCTGTGATCGCTGCTTCCACAACGAGTGCCAGCGCAAGGACCCCGAGAAGCCCACCTACGTGGTTCCCTCTGACAAGGATCAACCATTTCAGTTCCCTCTCAGCGTGCCGGACGAGGACAAAGATAAAAGTGCAGAGGTGGTGGCCCCAACGCCCTCTCCACAGCCTCTTTTAGATCACAACAGCAACATTCAACAAGCCGCGCCGACACCCCAGACTTCGCACTTCGTCAAGCACGAGAACTACGAGTATGACGACGACGTGTTCTATGTCAGCGAAAAAAAGGGGGTCCGTCAGCGTTCGAAGGCCACTGTAAAGAACGAAGAGGGTCTTAATTCGGACACCGATACGAACAGCGAGCTAGAGCACTGCACTCGCTGTCGGCTTCTCAAGCTAGCCGCTATCCGGAACCCGCCGCAATTGGACAAAAAAGAGTTGTCCTCTCTCTTGGGCAAAGTCTGGGATGACAGTCACAGCTGGATGAGCACAGACGTGGCCACGTACATGGCCAAGCTCTGGAAGAACCGTGATATTGCGCTGGTCAAGCGTATCCTCTTCAAAACTGATATCCTGGGAATGGCCGACATCAAGCGGAACATTGAGGCTGAAAAGTACAAGTACTTGATGGAGTTTCACGCCGATTTGCTTGACTTTCAGCACAACACTGCTGTGTTTTTTGGCCACCAGGCCGAGGAGTACGAACCCACCAAGAGGCTGATCCGGGATGTGTCACACTACATCCAGGAAATTCGTAAATGTGTCGATTGCTTTCGATATTCCAATGAGTCCAATCTGTCCAAGATGTGGTTCGCCAAGCCCTGTACACAGCGCCACGAGTTGGTTCTTGCCAAGACTGCAGGCTACCCGCACTGGCCAGCAAAGGTAAGTATCAAGCTAAGGCTATCCTTCTAATTTTGTAAAGTTACTTATAAGTATTTACTTTCTCGCAGGTCATAAGCGTCTACAGCGGCAATCCAAATAGGTATGATGTTCGCTTTTTTGGCGGGGACCATTCCCGAGCTTTGCTCGCCGAAAAGGATATAATTCCCATTGATCTGGATACTGATTTACATTTCAAATCAAAAAACACGCACGGCTTCAACGACGCCTTGATGGAACTGCAGTGCCACATGATGCTGTCCGGCTATTCCGCTACTCTCTTTGGCTTCTATGCTGATTCCACAGAAGCCGAAGAGCTCATTAAAATGGCCCTGTCACGCTGCACCAAATCGAGCGTCCCCCAAACCCCGGGCAAGCGCGGCAGACCGCCGACCCCGGCAGCTGCAAAGAAACGCAAGCTGCCGAATACCCCCAGTTGCAAATCTCCAGCGCCTACTCGTGTGATGCCTCGACGTAGCGTGGTGCTGCGGGAGAACGGAAGCTCAGCCAACCAACCGGAGAATGGAGTATATCAGAATCTAACCGAGCAAATCCTGAAGGCCCACGACGATCTGCAGAAGTACCAAAGCGAATTGGCCGCCATGCAGCAGAAGCTTAATGATGCGAAGCTTAAGCGTTGGTGCCACCATTGCCTGGAAGAGGCCGCGTTCGACTGCTGCTTCGCTGCGTCCTACTGCAGTGCCGACTGTCAGCGTCGCAATAAAAGACGCCACCAGGCAGTGTGCAAAGTCAATCAATAAATCAAGATGCCTGGTGATAAAGAAATTTGTATTTTTAATAAGGTTCCACCTGAATAGTTTTAAATTTATATAATGGAAAATTAGTAATCTTTAGAAAAGTTATAAATCAATTCGGAATATTATGTTTTATGGAAAATGAGATTTTGAATATGTCTTTTATGGGCATTATTGAAGTTCTAGGAATGGGCAGCACTGTTGCCCATAGATGGCGTCCTTGTGTTTAATAATGTTTGGAAATTCAATTATTTTTAAACAGAAAAACGAAGTGCATCTCTTCAATCCTTTGTTTTAAGCTTAATATTACAAAAAATCCCTTATTTTTTAAGGAGTTATTGACGTTTTGCCAGCCATATTATATATACTCGTTTTGATAACCTGTTCTTACCAAAAGTAAGTACTTTTCCTTTTATTATGGGAAGAAGACCAACATTTTTTTGGTATTAACACACATTAAGCGCTCTTCGGTAAACGTGTTACCCCGCAGTCTGATGCCATAAGCATACACAAAGTTCAGCCAAAAAGGTCAAATTCGAATTGGCGAAACGCTGGAAAGGGTTCCCCGTTCAATTTACGAGTGCAGGCCATGTGAATGCAACAGATTTCATGGGGTAATCGCATTTTATGAATGCAGAGGCCGGCGGGAATGACCGTTAAACGGAATCCCAAAAATAATTGATTTATGCCGGGTTCAGCAAGAGCAACAGCAGAAAGCCATCGTTACCGGAATGGAAGTGGCCCAAAATAGTTGGCACCTTGCATTGGGCATAGATAGAAATACATGGCTGTAATAAATATTTCACTTAGGGGCAGCCGCCACATCAGCACACCACGATTAATGCTCAGTCTTGGGTCTCAGAGCGAGTCTCCCCAAAGTCGGAAGTCACGTTTAAACGTTTTCGCTTAAAGTTTCACACAGCGGCGAATGATTGATGAGCTCCTTTCCAAGTCCACAGTCGCACGTGTATCGTGGTTCATGGGGAATATGTGTTTGTACGTAAAATGGTCATTAGGGCTTCTCACTCGCTGTGTTTACTCGTGTCTCAGGCCAGCTTTTATGCACTTTCGCATTGGAAATAGTAAATCATTTTTGGGATATCTTTGCCTGCCACTTAATTAGGCCAAGGGGATGGGAATTCGGAATGAATTCGGACTGAATCAATATCATCATCCTGTCGGGTTTACACAGTGAAGAGTCCATAAGTTGAACTAAAAGATATGATAACTTTATGTTTGAATTTAATTTCTTTTGCTTTGTAAGAAGGTTATAAGGCTTGCTTTGAAAATTTAATTTCAAAGAAAAGTACAATATCTAATTTTATCATTTAAAAAATATAAGATAGGAAACTTCATGGTTAAGACTTACCGAAGTAGAGGTTACCCTTGTTTTCTTGGTGTCTTTGGTATCATCGAAGCTTCTTTCTGGTTATCCAGATATTTGGGGTCGAAGAGCAATCACTATCACTATCACTACCACAATAGATGTAAACAGCGGGGAGGCCGCGGACAGACTGAGGCCAGCTCGGTGGCAGTGCTTCTATTTATAGTCCCCGCTGAGTAAAGAGAACAGAGAAAGTGAGAGAGTGGGAGAAAGTGAGAGCGTGGGAGAAAGTGGTATCTCCAGAGATAGGCAGAGAGTTAGGAGCGACATAGAGAAAGAGAGATGTCTCTAGAGGCACACAGAGAGGCATAGACATATCGAAAATGGTAGAAGGAAAGAGAAAGAGGCAGAGAGATTTACATAGAGAGAGAGCAACAGAGAATGGCAGAGGCGGCTATACGATACAGTCATCTGATTTTAATAAAATTAAAATCAAGTCGGCCGTTGATATGAGTTATAGAAGCTTCACTGTACTTTATTTACCAATTTCAAGCAAGTCATTACTGTTTGTTTACAAAATATTTATTCAACATTTAGGGCCTGTGGCTGAGGCTTTTGCATTTTGCAATCAAAGTCTCTGTCGCCCCACAGCCAAAATTTGGGGTCCACATTTTTTGACAAAGAAATGCAGTAGCAGTAATTAAGAATATTTTCTCTATATTTGTGCAAAATAAACAAGATGCTTTCTGCAAATGTCTCCCTTTGCTTACATTTTGAATTGGGTTTTAATTGTGTGCCAACTTCAAGGGACTTCTGGGACAGGTAAATTGTCTGCTGCTGTCTATTAAAATCTCCCGAAACATGGTAGCTTATTTTTCATTAGCTCGTAATCAAATTAGTCGCCTGCTAATTTAAACTGCACTAATTTGTCTGCGTCACGAAGGGAGTTTTTCCCTCCGCAACGACAATTCCACATCTTTGTGCTTATCGCTTACCTTCTCCAGGTTGTCAAAAGGAACTCCAAGGAATTTTGTGACAGGCGGGAAGGATTTATTGGCCCAACGTTGCTTGCCTACAGAGTAACGCCAGGATCCTCTTAATTAATTTCGTTGTGCGAGGCAAAAAGCTGTCAGGGTTACGAGCAAAAAACAAGTGATATGGCAGGGGAAAATGAGTAATGCAGTGGGGGCAGTGGGATTCTTGGGTATTTTATATACATATTTTCAGACAAATGCTGTGTTTTTTTAATGGTTAATACATACATTCTTCCACTAGAATAAATTAGAGCTGAGAAAACAGTTGTATATTTTATTTAAACCTATAAAACCTTAAAGATGGAATATGCATACCTTCTGCCTTATGCATTATTTAAAGATATTTATGATATTATTTTATTAAGTTATATTTGATATATTTCAAGTTCTCTGTTCATGTTCCCTGTGCTGTTCAGACTCCCATTTTCCTTACTGGTATACACGTCTTGTGTGTGTCTAGTTTTTTCCCAGATTACTCCCAGCTGCTGCCAGACTTAGCTTCCTTTTCGTCCTTAGCCTTGGACTCAAACTTGACCATGGCCAGGGGTTATCTCTTGGTTGCCAGGACTCCCCTAGGCTCCAGACATCTCCCTTGACTTTCCCTGCAACAGCTGTCAATGTGCAGGGAATTAAATCTCGAGCCGGGATCCCCAGGGCCAGAGAGGCCCCTGAAATGCAATTTCAGCCGCCAACATGTGGAAAATGCTGTCGCTTGTAAAAATTTTTGGCATGCGACGAATATTTGCCACCACAAATAGGGACTTTAATTTATGGGCAACGACAAGTGCAAATGCACGCTCCAACGCCAGCAGCAATGGGTTGCAATGAGAATGGGCAACATGCAACATGCAGCATGCAACACGACAACATAAACCGAAACAAAGCGACCGCAGACAGCCAGATTGCATATTTAAGCAGATGAGGAGGAAGTTAATGAGTCTATTATGGGCGCCAAGGGGGACGGCATAATGCCCATTGAGAATTTAGATGAAAAGCCTCAATTTGTGCGGGGAGGGAGGCGTTTAATTATAATGCCACACCCTCCGATTGCTTAATCCCCTCTAATGGCCGGCTTAACTGTTTGGAAATTCCATCATGAAACTGGGCAAAGTGTCAGGAATTATGCTGATTTTAACATTTTATATGCATATTGCAGAGTTTTATGGGTATGCGTCACTTACATAACCGTAACGAACTTTCGGCCGACCCTGGAAACGAGTCGGAGAATATTGGTAAGAGGTTTGAGTTCGCCACAGCCTCACCCAATGTCCAAAAACTTCAGATCTGATCCGATACGTAAGTGGTGGGTGAGTCAGCCTCAGGACTCTGGCAAATTATGTTTTGTTTAAGCCAATTTTATATGCCAATTTTCGCAGAAAACCCAACACGCAGCTCAAATGTCAATGGCCAAAAGTTGGGCAGATCAAGAAGAGAGGTTAACATGGCCAGAACAATAAAGAGTATTTGGGAAAAGTAGGATATTTGGCATTAGATATACTAATTGGTCTTTACTTTAATATTTATAAGACTTAGCATTAATCCCTAATTAATGCTTTAATAGCTTTAATTTAAATCTTTAAAGGTAAATACCCAATTTTTATGCATTCATTTGTCAACGCTCTCCTCTTAAATGCTCTTTTCCTGCAAATGAATTAATTTTCTTTTATTAACATGCTAATAAGAGTTGACTTATCATTTCCATGTCAAAAAAAAAAGACTCTAAAGCCAAATCCAATTCCATTTCCTGTTTTTTCTCCCCCCCCCCCCCACAGCTGTGCGCGAGTGCAGCTTTCGAATTTCTTCTTTTTAAAACCAATTATCAAATCATGTCGCTGCTGGCTGACAAACTCATTTATTTTGCTTGCTGCACTCAAAACGGAGACAGGCCCACATACATCATACTTGCACTTGGTGGGGAACTCTTGGGGACTTTGGAGCTGGCTCCCACTTCTTCCCTCTGCTCTTTAATAAATGCAACCTAATTTTGCTTTCATTTCGACACATGCAACTACAGACATCCGAAAGGAAAATGTTTGTTTTCTTTCATAGGAAAATTCGGGGGGTTTCCCTACCCCAGACCACAAATCTACGACCACGACCAAGACCAAGACCGAGACCCAGATCCACATCCAGAAAGTGTCAAACTGTCGGCAGGGCCTGAAAATAGTCATTACTCAGTGTCTATTGCCTCGTTTACAGGTTCGAGAATTAAGAATGGAAAATGTGAGTGGGGGAAGTGCTCTCTAAATTTCCAGCTAATTTTAATGTGTGACAATTAAATGTGTGTGAGTTTTTAAGGCTCAGAAATGCTCAGGCTTTGACTACTAATTAGGTTTTCTTAAAGGTAATAATGCTTTGAAGTATTTGGAGTTCTTTATAAGAAATATACTTTATAAAATATCCAGAAAAATTTCAAAATATATCCCAAGTGTACGTAAAAATATGGATTTAAATTTTTAGCCCGTCATTCACAACTTGTTTGCTGTTTTTCTGCTATTTCAATTGATTTTTTTTTCTCCCATTTAGTTTATACTATTTTTCCATATTCTCGCCAATTCGTTGGCGCTCAAAACACATCAGCATAAATCACTGGCGGATCTCTGTGGCAAGCGCCACAAAAAAAAAAAAAAACAGTAAAAAACAAGGAGTGGAAACATGAAAAAAACACACAGC